GGAGACAGGAGGGACTTGCTGGAAGGAGGACAGGATGGGGTGGTTTCACCCTAGGCCTTCTGTTACTTTTCTAAACTATATGAATGTACTACATATTCAGGAAATTAAGTATGCTCTCAGAAGAACACAGAGAAAGGTGTGGAACTTGTTTGAGTAGAGTCACCACAAAGGCTCACTCCTGTGCCGTGAACGAGCAGCAGGCCTTCCGTGGCATGACTAAATGACACTCCTGGCTCCTGCCACATCTCACCTAAGTAATGGCAACACTGAGAAAGTTCAGCACCTGCTCACTCTATGCTGTGCACCGTTTGCGTGTTTATGCCTGCTAGTGCCATTTACTCCTCAGAACAAACCAATATAGTTAATACAATTACTGTCCTCACTAAGAGAAAGAAACTAAGGCACAGGAAAGATAGTTTGTCCAAGGTTGCAGCAGGAGCACCAAGATATGTGGTCCCACGGCACACAGTCTCAAATGCCACCCAGCTCTGCCCCTCCTTATACAGCAAAATGACTCCAGTGGATGTAGGCCTAGTTTCTCAAAAAGAGCCTTGTAAAAATCCATGATTTCCAGGAGGATTAACAGGGCATGTCTTTCAGCCATTGCCTCTTGCATCTTTGAAACAGCTAATTGTCACCTAAGGCACCAAGAAATCCATCAACAGGACAGAAAAGTAGTACTTAGTACTCAGTACTAAGTAGTGAGGGGCTAGGATCCTCAGAATGTTTCAGAGCAGTGGGTCCCTGCTGGGTGGAGGCTGCCACCCACTGTCAGAGTCCAAATGCCCAGGGTGACCTAGAGTGGGTAGGTGGCTCTTTTGGGGTGTAAGGCAATTTTACCAACTCTCCAACTTGGCAGTGGACTAGGGAGAGTGAGCAAAACTGACACACTTTGGAGGGGATCAAAGATATTCAGTGGCTTCATTTCAGAGAAGGAAGCCAGAGGCTGCTGGTAACCAAGAACCTGGCTTATCTACATGAGTCATCTGAAGGAATCACCAGCCTATGTTTCTATCTCCACCAAAGGACGCCAGCCAGGCTGGCTCTCTCATCACAGGTACACTGGGAAAGAACGTCTGCTGTGCCTTTTGCCTGCAGGGAGCTAAGCAAGGATGCTGGTAAAACAGGTGCCTTCCTCCCCCACCCCTGCCCCACCTGCAGCCCCGGCACTGGCGTTCACACTCCCAAATTTGCTGCTTCGATTTCTTCCTTCCTCTAATTACCAAGGCCAAACCCAAGTTCATTTCATAAGTCTTTATTACAAGGATTCATTCCGGATATTATAAGGGATATAAAAACATGAACTCTGGGGCCAGTCTGCCTGGATTCAGATCCTGTCTCTGCCACTTAATAGCCATAGGACAAGGCAAGTCACTTAGCCCTCCTGTGTGTTTTGTCATCTCTAAGATAGGGATTCAGTACCTACCTCATGGGCTTGTTATAAGACTGAAATAATATATGTGAAGTGCTTAGAATGGTGCCTGACGCACCAGGACCTTACAAATGTTCGCTGTGGTTGCGATTGCTTTTAGAAGGCATGAGCTCCACCCGCACAGAAGGTTTCTTTGGCGAAACAAGGTATGACCCCGAGACAGTTAAGGCAAAGCAAGCATCTGCGGACTTCACGACGTGGTTCAGCCAGTACGTGCAGACCAGCTGGAAAGAGAAATACCATAGGCACAGTGGCCAGGGAAGCCCTCAGCAATGGAGGCATCTGCCTGAGGAGCCTCGAGAGTGAACAGGCTAGAGGCAGATGAAGTACAAAGGGAAGCACAAGGCCTGAGTGGCTCTGGGGGTGAAACTGACCCAACAGTCTGGATGGGGGGTTTGAGGACGAGGGGAGAGGAATGTGGGTCTAGGTTTTCTCTGCAGTTGGAAATGTAATGAGACAAACCCCGAGAGGTCAGAGATGGAGCTGGAGACCAGGGGCCATTCAGACAAACTTCAGTCCGTGAGAGGAGAAAAACTAATTGGGAGAGCATGCAGCAGGGGGCCAGGCTGTGGGCACAGCTTGGGGACACACTCCCCCGATGCGTGAGGGCCCAGAGAGGAGAGGCCGCTGAAGAGACAGAAGGGAGGTGGAGGACCGGCAAGGAGCCCAAGGGGTGGAGCGCCACCACACTGGGAAAACAAGCCTTTTACACATATACCCCTGAGGGTGAGAAACTGCTACAGTCTAAGGACCATATAATTTGGTTTTCTGAAGGAGCCTTTCCATACCAATCATATTGACATTATTGTTAAGGTGACTTTTTCTTATACCGACATAATTCTACAAAATCTTTGTTTTTTAACCAAGTCTCTTATCTCGTGAGTTCCCACCTCAGATGGTAGGAGTGACAGGGGATGTTAAAAGTTTCAAAGAAACTGCTGAAAATAGGAGCTGGGAAGTAGTGTTAAGTATGGGCTTGGGTCAGAATGAAAATCAGAAGTGGGTCGTAAGATCCAACCTGCCTTCAGATCTGGGCCTACTGGCGAATGTGGGCACCTGTGGGCATCCTGCCATTCCATACATCTCAAGCTATCCAGCCACCACAGGAGGACAGTCTGCTCACGTCCCTCCTCCTCAAGCTGCCCTTCCCTGCGTCTTCTTCACCCCTCTCAGTAGAGGTCACCAGCTGCGTCACTCAGTCCCTCACATACAAGCAGTTTTGTCTGCAAACTACAATTGCTTTACAGGTTTTCAAGCACCTGGACAACCAAGAGGACTGGATGATTAAAGAAATAAAACTTAAAGAAAATCAACAACGTTAACAGTGGTTTTTCTGTGTGGTGGGGTAACAAGTCCTATGTTTACATCTATGCAATTTTTAATACTTTCTTGAATATATATGTATTGCTTTAAACCAAGAAAAATATTTGTTGTATTACCAAGAGGCCTTAGAGGCTGACAAACAATACTGGATTTCCATTTCATCGCTGACGACTGGCAGACAGGAATTAATTTCACAGGCTGCTAAGGGCACTGTGCCATTGCCTTTTTACCAAGAGGCCTTAGAGGCTGACAAACAATACTGGATTTCCATTTCATCGCTGACGACTGGCAGACAGGAATTAATTTCACAGGCTGCTAAGGGCACTGTGCCATTGCCTTTAATTCAGCTTCTCACCAGTCCAAAATACTGAGGTTTCCAGAGGGAGACAAACAAGAGCACCCTACATTTTCCTAGTGAATACTCCATGTACTAACTTCCAAAGCAATGCTACAACAGGGTGGTGAGGGGGCTACTGGCCAGGCCCAGCTAAGCCAGAGGGTACAACTAGCGGAGTGACATGAGGCCCTGCCTGCAGGTCCAGGGGTAGCATCCCACTAGCCCCGGAGTTTTCCTCAAGGACAGGAGGCAGCAGATGGGCACCATTTGCAGTTCGTGGCAGGCCTCCTCAGCCACTTCCTCTGGCTGTTCCACTCAGATGGCAGAGGCTGCTTAAGCACCACTCTGGATTTAGAAAAAATTGACCATCCCAAGCATGAAAGGGCCTGCTCTTCTCTCTCCACTGCAGCCATGTAGTTAGCAGGTGGGCCGAACAGACTGCTTTCCAGGAAGTAAGGTGGCATGACCACTACCCACCCGTTGATCTCAAACTCAAAGTTGCTGTGCTTCTAGGGTCAGAAGAGGGTGGGAGGGTCTAACATGCCAAGAGCCTGTCATAAGATGGGGCTCCTGCGCAGCATGAGGAGGCAGCTCTCCAGGAGCTGACAGGCAGCAAACATCCAAGATTTAAATTTAAAACAGCATGCGGTGTGTGCACTGTGTGTAGTGTGGTGTGTGGTGTGTATGGCATGTGCTGCGCGTGTAGGCTGCACCACCTCTGCTGGAAGGGAAAGCACAGCTTCACCCCCGAGACTACCTCTAAGAATACACACACAGCAAGCGGTGGCTTCCAGGCAGGAAACTTGTGGAAAAAAAGACTTTTTACCCATGTGTAACTTTGCATCAGTACCATATATATATATACAACTCAAGTATTTTATTTTATTTATTTTTTATTATTTTGGTATCATTAATCTACTATTACATGAGGAATATTATGTTTACTAGGCTCCCCCTTCACCAAGTCCCCCACACACACCCCATTACAGTCATTGTCCATCAGCGTAGTAAGATGCTGTAGAGTCACTACTTGTCTTCTCTGTGTTGGACAGCCCTCCCTGTGCCTCCCCCCACACTATACATGCTAATCTTAATGGCCCCTTTCTTTTTTCTCCCCTCTTATCCCTCCCTTCCCACCCATCCTCTCCAGTCCCTTTCCCTTTGGTAACTGTCAACTCAAGTATTTTTTAAAGTGTACATACACACACACGCAAACACATACACGTGGAAGAATGGGAACGCTGTGCAGAGCCTGTAAACACATCCTCGGGCCCAACCCCCAAGAGCAGGCCTGTGTCCCCTCCCACACTGCCTGTTCTGCTGCCTCCCCCTCAGCACCCCCAGAAGCCTCATCCCCCTCCTGGTCTGTTCATACCCCTACATTATACACCATCTGTTCTGCATTGTATTCTCAGAACCCCATGGAACTAGGTCGGCTAACTCTAGCTAGTGCTATCCTTTTAAATATATTTGCATATTAAGACTGAACTTCAGCCAGAGTGTCAGATTTTAGAATCAAGGTGCAGTGAAAGGAACAGTCAGGAGACACCAGTCTCATTCAGGCTGTGATTTGGGGCAAATCACTTCACCTCTTTGGGTCTCAATTTCCTTAACTTAAAAAGAAGGGGGCCATAATCTGTCAACACCTCACCTCCTGCAAAATTCCACTATACAGAGCTGCTTCTGTGTTCCACCCCCTCCGAACTTTATGTTGAACAGTGCTATCCGATAGAAATACAATGTGAGCCAAACAGTAATTTTAAACACAAACAAGTAAAAGAAAAGGAGAAGCTAATTTTTATAACGGATTTTACTGACCCAATATATCCAAAATATTGTCAACATGCAATCAATATAAAAATTATTGCATTTCCATTCTTTTTTTAGTATTACACCATCCAGTGTGTATTTTACATTTACAAAACATCTCAATTTGGACCAGCCATATTTCAAGTGCTCAAAGCCACATGTGGCTAATGGCCAGCACAGGTGTGACTCTAACAAGGATGCCCTCCCCTCCCTCCTGGCCTCATCAAGCCCAGACCTGAACGCCGACGTGAGCGCCAGCCTGTGTCCTCACAGGGGCAGAGCAACCCGGGCAGCTCAGGCTCCGAGCTCCTCATATGACCAGGAGGTCCGCCAGGACTGGTGAGCAGAGGACATTGTAGAGTGCAAGAAAACCGTGAAATGCAGAACCCAGAGGCCTGGAGCCGGGTAGGAACAGGGTCTTCAGGGGGCGCCCAAAATATGAACTGGGCAGCCAGGCCTTCTCTGTCCTCAGGGTTTTCACAATACAAAACACAGACCTTTTGACATGCCAGGAATGTATACTCATTCATGTGGACACCTCTGAACACCTTCTAATTCCAGGCACTGGGCTGAGCAGCAGAGGCACAGCTGCCTCACACAAGAGCTTGTACTTGAGGCAGGATGACATGCTCGCTCTTCATAAGCAGGACCCCAGCTACCCATCCAGATGCCCCTCTGCAGGGGAACTAGGCCCGGATGAGAGGCTGCGGCCTGGTGGCTGCTCTCTACCCAGCAGTCACACACCTAGTGGGGTAGAGCAGGGATGCAGGCCTGGCTGTGAAGGGCTGCAACCAGCCACATCCCCAACTTCAAGGAGCTCAGTTACTGGGAGCAACAAATGACCTATCAGGGCCAAAGGGTCACTACCATAGCAGTGATGTGGGCACGGGCCTGGAAGCAGGGGACATAGCAAAAGGATTCCCAAAGCAGCCCTTAAGTCAGTGAAGAAAGCTGAGGGGCTCACCAGGCATCTGGGGGCCGGGCCTCCAACAGGAAGAGCATGTTCTAGGTGCACAGGGGTGTGAAGGATGGTGCAGTGCTCAGAAAACCACAGCCCACCGGGCAGCGGAGGGCAGTATGCAGAAAGCACAGGGCCCCCAAGAGACTGGAGGTGTCTGCTGAACGCAAGAACAGGGGGCCTTAAACTCCATGCAGGGTGACCTGCGTTTCATCCTATGGGCCACAGGACGCCACTAAATAGCTTTCTCTAGGGTAGTGCACAGAACCAGACTTTCACTTTACGAAATCATTCTGAAGGAAACACCTCAAAGCTCACCCTCCCCCTTCCTCTTCCCAGGGCTCTTAACAATTTAAAAGCCCATGTGGGAAGGGGGGAGCCTAGTAAACATAATGTTCTTCATGTAATTGCAGATTAATGATACCAAAAAAAAAAAAGCCCGTGTGGGAAAGCATACTCTTGTTTCCTATACAGTTGGACCATATCTCAGGGACTTAATCTCCTGCAAAGTGTACTTACTGTACCTGTTTTACTAAAGAGACAGGTGACTTGAAACTCCTGAATATCAACCAATGACAAACTAGCTAACCAGCGCCTTCTATATTCTCTGCATCAACATTCACTGAGGTCAGGTAGGGGGCAGTTTCCTTGGCCTCTGGAGAAAGGCCAGCCCTGCGAGGAGCCTCTCACAGTCCTGACAGCAGAGTAATGTTTTACATTTTCTTGTGCAGAAACATGTCAGATTCGTGCGGCCAACAACAGAAAACACTGAAACATGGCAGCTACTCCAACACTCTGGCCCCAGGGCCTCCTCCCCAACAATGAATAAAATCACTGGCTGCCTTCAAACCCTGTGTTGCTCTGCCATCCCCTTCGCAGCTCACATTACCTCGCACCCAGTTCCCCTTTCAGCTCCTCAGCCTCTGAGGCTGGCCCACTTTTCAAGGTCACAGGAGCAGAGAAATGTGTGTAACATACAAACAATAAATGTAACTAGAACAACGGGACATACAAAGTGGGGAGGCAGGACCGTCGTGTACCCGGGAGGCAAGGATGCAGGCAGAACCTAGGAAACTGCCATCCAAGTACAAAAGCACTCCTGCGAGGCAGGGGAGGGTGTGATGGGGGGAGAGGGCAAGGATGCTGGGTGTAACAGAGCAGGGCTTGGAACCGGAAAACGGAGCTGAAGCCCAGGAGGCACCCAGCAAGGACGCTTTACCCAGTGAGAAGAGCTGGGCACCTGGCGGTTCTGGCAGTCATGCCCTGGCCTGGCCACAGAGAGGGCCCCACTGCCAAACCACAGGGCGCTGCACTGGCAGGTGACTGAGCAGACCAGTGGGGACCAGAAGAGAAGGAAAAGGCCCTCCTGGACATCACTCTGCCTGATCAAGGGCCTGCCTTGGAAGCTTTCTCAGAGGTCAGTTTTCCAAGGAAGTGAAATGCCAAGAGCCACTGCAACAAGGTTTTTCTGATCTTCCAGCTTCATTAACACCCTACCCTGAAACAGAAACTCCCCGCTGTCCCCAAGACAGAATGATTCGTGGACGCACTCTCCCTTCCCAACCTGTGCTTGGCGGGGGGCCTCTGGGCCTAAGGGAGACTGCTCCTGAGGACTTGTGTCCCCTGGCTCCCCTTTGTTTCCACATTACCTATAGCACCAGCGAGAGTGGGGCATGAAGGAGACAGCATCAGGCAGGCAGCCTAGGTGGCTCTTTCTAGAATGAGGCAGCCCAGCCCCGTGCGTAGGGGCCTGGCCATCAGCAGGAATGAGGCTGCCACGCAGCACTCTGCTTCCGTTGGGGCGGATGTGAGGCCAGAGGGTGGGGCAGGGGAGACCACTCAGTTGTGGACAGGAGGCCAGCAGAGAGGAGAACACATGGCCCCCCGGATCCGGTAGAAGACGCGAGCCAGCTTGTACAGCACAGTCAGGGAAGAAGGAGATGCTGCGGGGAAAGGGAGAGACAGGGGTCCAAGTGGCCCCCTTCCTTCCACCCACCTCGCCCCTAGGAAGCGCCACCTGGGTGCGCACTATTTCTCTAAAGCATATTTTGGTGCTTAGTGGTATTTGCTCCTTGCACCCTCAGCAACAGTAAAGAATTTCACTTTCTCTACATTCTCTGGGATAGATTTGCTTCACTTGGCTTATAGTGACCTTAAGTTTGCTGAGAAAAAGACCCAAATTTATTATGTTTTAAGCTAATTTTTTGATATACAAAAAACTAGTAACCATGGATGCCTCTGGGAAGATAAATTCTGGAAAAGATTTTTCACTACATTCTTTTTTGTACCTTTTACATTTGGAGCCCAGTGACAGTATTACCTATTTTTGTCAGATTGAAGACAATGTAAAATGTACTTCTTCGGAAATAGAGCTCAGTTTGGTTGTTTTTCCTTGTTTTAATTAACTTATATTTTTAACTAATCTTTTTTTCTTAAAAAGAAAAATAGTAATTTAAAAGAATGGCATCAATAGCATACCCTCTTTCTATCCTTTCTACCAGGTTTTCATCACCGCCTCATCACAGGCTCCCCCTCACCCCCACACCATCACCACAGCGAGTCCAGGCTGCCACCCTGGGGAGGGGCACTGGGCTGGGCACTCTAAGCAGCTGTGAGTGGCCTGGAAACAGTGGCCCCTGCTGTCATACTCAGGAGGCCAGGGTTTATGAGACTATAGGACTGCTAAGACTCTTAAAAAAAAATCTCTAAATTTTTATCAAGTCTCTGGAGTAAAGTAAAAAGTCAGAGGGTAGACAGAAAAGAACCAAGTGTCCTCAGCTGTCCTGAGAGCTAACCAGTGACCCTCCCTATGGCAAGCAGAGCTGTTCAGAGGGACTGTGCTCAGCACTTGGTGCAGGACTTGTTCAAGGGACAACTGTGAGCTCACTGACAAGAGGAAGGGAGACACGGGAAACAGAGGAGACTGAAAAGTAAATCAAGAACTGGCAGTTTTGAAGGTACACAAATTCTGGTGTAACCCTGGGCTAGTCACTCTTCTCTCTAGTTCTTAGGTTTCTTGACCAAAAAGGAAAACAAAGGGGCTGGAATAGGGCTCCCAGTTTTCACTTCAGTTTTGAAAGTTACATAATTCAATGCTAAGTCTAAATTTATGAGAAGAGTAGAGATTAGATCATAATTCACACAGTAAGACACAAAAATCTACGTGTGTGCCCCTAACCTGTGGCCCAAGACTTAGTTCTAGGAATTAATCCTCAGGAAATAACCAGGCTATTCCCAAACAGCACTTAGAGAGCTCGTGTCTGCTTCACAGCACCACAGCAAGAAGCACAAAAAATAAAATGTTCAACAGTATGGGTTTTCAATCAATTATGGAAGTTTCTATGAACTGGAATATTATTAGCCACTTAAAGCCATGTTTTAAAGAATACTTAGGATAAGTGTAACAACCATAGCTGGACTTATGGGCATGTCTGTTCTCTATACTTTTCCCTATTTTCCACATTTTCTAAAATGTTTATGTATTTCATTTACAATTTATGTTTTAAATTAACACAACTGTAGACATCACAATGATTCTGAGGTTCTAGTTATCTACTCTGGGACAAAGGAGAGGATGACAACTGAGGGTGAAGGTCAGCAGGGCAGAGCAGATCCTCATGGGCTGCAGGGCTGCCCTTTCCTCCGAGGTGTGCCGGGACTGGCTCATGCTCAGGTCCCGCAAGCCTCCTTACAGAAGACCAGGATGGGTGGGAGGGGAGAGTGGTGGGAGACTCACCTGGATCAAACCTCACCACCAAGAGGCAGAGGATCAAGGCAGCCAGGAGGCTCTTTCTGAAGGGCAGAGAAAAGCAGCAGCTCACCGCAGAGTCCCAGAGCCGGCGGAGCAGCGTCAGCAGTGACAGGAACTTGTGGGATAAGGAGCCTGGCAGGGAGACAGGACACAACCTCAGCGTAAGTCGCCACAGCCAGCCTCCCTGACTCCGAGTCTTGAGCTTCACTGTAAGCTGGGCAAACAGTGACAAGGTTGGTCTGCTCACGAACTTCACCAAGCAGCTCTAAAGGAATTCCCAAGGCTCCAAAAATGGCTCAAAGACAGACCACGTGACTAGAACATTATTTCCTTAGCAGGGAACTTGGACAAAGTCTCAGCTAGGTAAACCTGGCACATTTGGTGGGTTTTTAATAGTCTTGTTATTTTATAGCGTTCTTTACATTTGGTCAACAAAAGAATATGTGCAGAGTTACACAGCAATAGTTCTTGATCATCATGCTAATGCAGGAAAATGAAGGACACTTAATACACACACTGAGAATTTAAGTTGTGGGCTGTGAATATAAACATTAACACACCCACCCAAGAACAGGCAGGGCCTGGTCCTCATGGAACAACCTGAATTTGTCGTCAGCCTCTCCTCCCCAGGAGCTGGTGGGGCAGGGCACCAGGCAGCGCAGGTACTTCCTGAAGCCAACAGCCTATCTGCACAGAAGTGATCTTACATCTCAGCAGGACCTGCTCCTTATTAGCACACAGACAGCACTGTAATTTCCTAACAGCTGAAGGGCTTTCATGTAAAAGGGGGATTAGGCCTATTCTATACATTAGAGAAAAATGAAGGATCAGTGGGTAAAAATTACCAGGAGAAAAGCTTAAATTCATCATCAGAAAGAACTTCCCTACAGAACTACAGAACTGTCCATAGATGGAATGAGCTGCCTCAGGAGACAGTGAATTTTCTGTCCTCTGCAGTATTCATGTATAGACTAGATGATCACTCAAGGGAAAGATGAAAGGATTCAAGGCACAGGGGAGGGGTCCAGAGGAGAGGACCTTTAAAATCCCTTTGCAATAGAACAACTCACACCACCCTGTGCGGGCACCCCTTGTCTGATGCTAGCCAGCTGTATGGTGCTGGGTCTTGAAGTGGTTTCCTTACAGAAGCCACTTTGTGAAAATGCACCCTAACGGGCACTGGTGGGCTGCCCTGAGGCGGGGGACCCAGTCCCTGAAGAAGACACGCAAGAGTTCCAGCAAGTGAAGGCAGACAGAGGCAGTCCAGCTGGGTCCAAGCTGAAGAGAAGTAATTTTTATCTCTTAAGTCAAGCTACAAGTTACTGTGTTCATTTTTTATTTTCCTTAGGTTGTCTAAAAGTATACCTCACCTGGTCCGTTTGGGCCAGCATGTAAAGGAGGAGCAGCCGCCCTCCAGGCCAGCCAGTAGACGCGAGACCTAATTAGAGAGCCCCGAGGAGAAGGGGACTCAGGAGATGAAAGTCAAGGTTCTGAGACTCAGCAACACCCTGACACGCAGACACCCCTCCGCTGCCAGCTGCAGAGGATTCAGGCTTTTTACGCAGCACAACGGGTTTCCTATTCTGTGACTCAGGAATTACTCATACAGAGAATTGCTCCCAGGCTGCCCAGAACATCACAATGGGCCCCAACACCCACAACCCCACTTTACAGAGGCCACAGACGGATACTGTCCTACCTTCTCCATTCAGTTTCTGGGCCTCCGCGGACACCAAGGGCTGGTGTTTCTGCTGTCTCCCCAAGCTGATGGCCTGGAGCACACCCAACTGCTGCTCCTCACTGAAGGCTGCAGAGCCCACCACCAGCTCCTCAGCCTCCGACCAGCAGCCCAGAGGCAGCAGCACGCGCTGCACGTGGAGTTCGGCCAAGGCTGTGTACTCAGAAAGGCCCTGATTGTCAGCGTCCTGCAGCCAGGCTCTGACAGCTTCCAGCACAGCTCCAGGCGCTTGCATTTTGCTGTATAAAAGAACACTGCCACCCCAGTCACCCAATCCCAGAGGAGAGTCAGTGCTGCACGTTCACCTCATAACCACAGCCAACCCCTCCCGACACTGGTAATAGGACTTCCTTGGAAGCAGCTGTCTCAGCTCTGCCACCCTCCATTTCTGCCACCTGCTTCCTCCTATTCCTGGTTTCCCCTTTTTCCTCTACCCCACTCCTAAACTCCTCCTTCCTCATCCTTTACTGCTAATATTTTGAGGTCTGAAAAAACAAAACAAACAGGAACAAAGTGAAATTTGGAACAAAGTGAAGGCTTTAGGTAGGGTAGGGGAAAGAGGCACTGGTCAGGCCCTTCCTAATCCTGGACTGATTCAGTGGGTCAGAAGCAAGGACCTACCACAGCTCCAGAACTTTGGGGGGCAGCTTTTCAGGGACCTGGTAATAGTGAAGAACCCAGGACAGGACTTCCTGCCACCGATCCATTTCTGCCATGGCCTGTATCCCCACAACACACAGGGAGCATTTCACCTCCAAAGAGCTGTCAGCAAGAAACCAATTTGGGTTTAGAAGTGGTTCCTCTCCACTGCCTTTCCCACCTCCCTTCTGGGACTGTTTACCCAGCTCCCAACTCAGCAGAGAGCACCTCTAGCCTTCCCATTGGTATTCAAGTGGCCTTCAAATTACAATTGGTCTCATGCACTCAGGCACCCCAGCACAGAGAAAACTGCCCTTTCCCCCAGGAGTTAAAAGTGCCTGGAAATCTCCCAGAGACAAATTAACTGTTGCCCAACACCCATCTTTGTATCCAGGTGAAGGAGGTTTATTTAAATGCACAGGAAGGGGAAAGGACAATGCACAGCACAGGTGAGCAGGTGGAAAGAGTTCCCTCAGTGAAGAAAAGGCCGGGGCGGGGCTTCTGCCAGGGTGCAGGCCTGGGACTCCCCGCCAACCTCTTGGCACCACCTACGGAGGGACCTCCAGGCACCCAGAATCACAGCCTTCAGCATTTACCGCAGCAAGCCTCCACCCACCACTCAAACACACAGCCAGAGTTACCCAGTTCACCCTTCTTTCCAGTTAGTTTTGACTATTCAACCCACCACCTCCGTAAGGTAGCTCAATCCAACTTCATCATCCAGAGAAACGATGCCCCCAACCTCAGAAGAGGCTGGCCGCATTAGGAAGCGCAATGCAGGGCCACAGTTTCTCTTCAATGCACTCCTTCAGTAGGACCAGAACATACTTCATACTCTGCCCGGAACCCCACTCCCATTCATCAGCCAAGGTCAGAGTGACTCGGGGGAGCCCGAGGGTGGCCCCTTGCTGCACATTCTACCTTCCCATCAAGCCCTTCTAACCGAAGCAGGGGGCAAGCAATCGCTCAGGTTCCCACTAGGCCTTCTCACTGTGCAGCTGTGATAAACTCCGTTTCCTCCGGCATGAACGGGGCACCGCCCCTCGAGGAGGGCGCATTAACGAAAGCCTAGCGCGAGCTCCTGGCGGAAGCTGGGAACGACAAACTGAGAGCCCGTGCGCTCCCCGGCACTGCCCGCAACCGGACGGAACCCAGCACGTACGTGTTCGCAGGCGCCTCTGCCCCGGCGTCGCCGGCCAGGCTCTGCCAGGCGCGTTCGCAGGTGCGCAGCGCCGCGGGGAAGTCCAGGTGCACCACCAGCAGGTCGGCCGCCTCCTCCAGCAGGGCCGCGGCCGCTGGCGCGGCGGGGACGCTGCGCACCGGCTCGCTGCTACTCAGGGGCGCCCCAGGCCCGCGGGGCGGTGCCGCCGACGCCGAGGAGTCACTCGTCATGGCTAGCCCGGGCTCGGAGCCAGTCTCCAGACCGCGAGGCGCCGCCTCTCCGGGGATCCGGGGTATCCCCAGCGCGCCTGGAGGAGAGGGGTGTCCTCACGGCCCTGCCCAGAGTCCCTCCAGAGGCCGAGACCGGGCGAGGGTGCGACCGCGGCCGAGGCAGAGACCCGGCCCGCCGGCTGCTCCCGCTCCAAGCGGCCCGGCACCTGGGGAGCCTCACAGGTCGGCAGCGCCCTGGGGCACCTGGCCCCCCGCCCTGTGCGCCCACCACGCCCCGGAGCCCTAGCCCGCGCTCTGCAGAGCCGGACTCGCAGAACAGGCCGCCCGCGGACCTGCGCAGGCGCACGGCGCGGAGGACTCTGGGAGCTGTGGTTCACCCGCTCTCGGCTCCGCCAGCCCCCCGGGGGCAGGTGCGGCGCGCGGACCACCGCCCCCAGTGCCCCGCTCCCCGGGCCCGGGCACTGCCCGGGAGGAAACGCACCTGCACCGCCACTGCGGCTCCCGTAGCTGAGGCCAAGTGCTGATATGGAGGAGCTTCACGAACCAGTTCCGGAAGAGGCGGGATAGAAGAAATGCCAGCAATGGACATGGACTTACACACACGCTTCCCATTCTGAGTTTCTGCAGGGTTAGCAGTTAGGATACCAGGAGGGCAGACCAGAAGCGCTTTACAGATGAGGACACTGCTGAAGGTCACACAACTAGGACCCATAATGACGTCAGTGCAAAGCTCTTTTGGCTCAAAGGCGTATATTTAACCACTACTCTGTTCTGCTGGACAGTAAGTACTGTCTATGCTTTCTGTTCAGGGAATTCAGGCACCACACAAGCAAGGTGCATAAAAGCTTGTTGAGTCTTCATTGTACCATATAAAATAGGGACATTGTGAAAAACTGTGTGGGTAAAATTGTAGCATTTCCAGAATATCTGGCCTGGCTTTAGTACATCTGCGTATCAATAGGCATTCAGTGGTGGAAAGAAGTATGGCTTTAGTGCATTTGCATTATTCCTCACTGGTGGAGAGTTCATCTCCGTATCAATGGGTAATTACCTGGGCAACAGAGGGCTTATCAGTGCCTGAGAGGTGAGGGGGAGGGCCGGTTTTGCTTTTGCTGGAGCAGAAACGAGAGAAGGGCCGGAACTACACTGTGAGCAATAAACAGATTTTAAACTTTATTTCTCCCTTTGACTGATTTCGGTTTTTAGAGGTATCCTGCCCCGGGATTTCCTCTCCCCGGATTTACACAAAGCCATACAGTATGTAATGCAATTTATAGTGAAGTACTGGAACAGAGCAGGTATTCAATAAATTATGTCTATAATAATAGTTAACTAATTTTACATAGATACATAAATTATATTTATTTTCTATTCTGTGCTTCACCCAGGCTGTGCCCAGCCTCCCAGGTTTATACTAGGCCCTCTCAGCTTTTATTTAGTTTTTAGTCCCCAGTTCCTACCTTTTCAACTCTTGGCAAAGCTTTCCTAGAACTATTTATTCCCCTGGTGATTAGATTAGACAGGCCAGGCACATTTCAGTGCCTTCCCACAACAGGCATCCCCTTCCCTTGTCACCAAGTCTGGGCTCGTCCATCTACTGACCTTTCAACCTTCTGCAGAAAGTCCAGACAGAAACATTACATCCACCAGACTCTGAGAGAAGAGAAATATAGCCCCTGTAACCATGTAAAGTGATGAGGCAGGACTTCCTTTATTCCACAAATACTTTTGAATGCCTACAAGTTGCCAGGCCCTGGCTCTAAGCACTGAGCATCCCACAGTGAACAAAAGAGACAAAAATGCCTACCTCTGTGAAGCTTACATCATAGTGAGACGAACAGAAAATAAAATATAAGCAACTAAAACATAGAGTAGTTTGTCAAATGGTCGTACATGCTAAGGAATAAACAGAGAAGGACTGACAACAGCAGGATTGGTGTCTACATTTAACTTTGTTTTCTTACAGTAAATCCAGGGTTGGGGGCAGAGCGGAGAGAAAATACAGCCCTCAGCTCAGGAGTGGGATCACTGTTCACTTTGGAGCACTGCCCTGGAGACCAACAGATGCTCAGGATCATGGGTGAGAAGCTCTACCCTAAGCGCCTCTTTCTCACCAGGCAATATTCACTTCCACACAGTGAACTCCAAAGCAAGCAGAGATCCCTGGAGGGTGTGGATGGGTCCAAGACTGAAGTTACCAAAATATTTTATCAGCTCTGCCTTGGATGATGAAGATCATTAGTAACAACATAATTATTGGACTGAAAAAAGCAAAAACAAAAACCCCATTTCTTAGAACTGGGTTTAGAAGACTTCCCTGGAAAATCAGGAAAGCAGGTGCAGCACCAGAAAATAGACCTGAGCAGACAAGGCAAGCTGAGGCTGGCTGGACCACATCACCTCCTACCCAGGAGCACCCTGTAGATAAGCTGCCTGGAAAGGCCCCTTCCTTAATCCCCAAGAAATGTATTGCTATTCCAAATTTTTCCAGGAGATGGCAGCACAGGCTCAAAAGCAGACCTGCCAGAAACAAATTTGCTGCTGAGTGGGTTGTCTGCCAGGATGAAGTCAAGATATGTGGAAGGGAAGCCCCCCAGAGTTGCTAAAAGTCATATAAAATCATATAAAAATATGATTGTGATCGCTTTCTGTTTCATCCAATTTTTTTACTATACAGGGCATCTTGGTGGCCTTTATGTCCCCATGGAACCATTAGCACCGTTATACCCACAAATTGATTCCTTAACACACACCCACTGTACCACTCCACCTCTCCCTATGTCTGAATGTACCTAGAATTTCTCAAGCGAAGGCACAACAATCGTAAACATAAGCAAATTCATTGCACTTAAGGGAGAGTGAACAGGTATTTTATGTACCTAACCAATCTTAGGGTAGGATAAAACAAGGAGAGGAAATAAGACCTGATCTATAAAGCCAGACCTATAGTTCCTGGCCCATGTTAATATTTGTATTTTCATTTTGGGGAAACTAGTGGAGTAAGTGAAATGCAAAATCCACATTGTGAGCACTGACCCCTGAAACCTGGGGTTCTTCCTCACACTTGGCAGGGACTCCGTGTATCAGGCATCGTTTTCCCTTCAGGATGTGGATTTGCTCAGCCTGCTTTGGGCAGGCCATGAGTCTGTTTTTGTAGCAGGAAGAGCTCCAGGCTCGGGGTGAGCTGCACCAGTTAGAATTCCTTCAGTGGCTGAGCCAGACCCTCAGGAAGTCAGAGCCCTCAGAAGTCCTCTGAACCTGTGTTCTCATCTGAGGGCGCTGAAAGTACACCTGACACCCAGGGTGACTGTGGGAATCAGAAGAGACACTTGACAGCCCACTGAACTCTTTAAAAAGTCACTGGAATAGTTCAGGCAGATACAAGATGAGATGGTATAATGGGGAATGAGTAAGGAGAAGAAGACAGAATCTCATTCCATCTCAAAGCTCTGAAATTCTGCTCTCTGACCTGGAATCTGACTCTTGGCTCCTCCTTACAAAGATCAGTGGCGCTCACATCTGTAGGCAGCTTAGCCTGTCCTGCCCTCTCCAAACTGGCCCTACATCTCATGACAACAGACAACATCCATAGCTGCCCCTGTGAACTCATCTCAGCCAGCCAGAGGCCCTCAATACAGGAATGTCAGCGGCAAGACCTGGGTGCCGTAGAATCCTGCCTAGTGTGGAACTTTGGCCAGAAGCAAACTGGGGAAACAAGTATCAGCAGGGTGGGGATAATGTTTTTTTTCCAGGATGACCAAGAGATGTGCCTCCTTATCTCCAGAACTTCATCAGTTAGATGGCATTCTTTTCTTGCTGTTGTTATCATTAATCTACAATTACATGAAGAACATTATGTTTACTAGGGTCCCCCCTTCACCAAGTCCCCCCCACAAACCCCATTACAGTCACTGTCCATCAGCGTAGTAAGATGTTGTAGAATCACTACTTGTCTTCTCTGTTGCACAGCCCTCCCCATTCCCCACCCCCACATTATACATGCTAAAATAATAATACCCCTTTCTTCTTCCTCGCCCTTATCCCTCCCTTCCCTCCCATTTTCCCCAGTCCCTTTCCCTTTGGTAACTGTTAGTCCATTCTTGGGTTTCTGTGATTCTGCTGCTGTTTTGTTCCTTCAGTGTTTCTTTTTTTCTTATACTCCACATATGAGAGAAATCATTTGGTATTTATCTTTCTCCCCATGGCTTATTTCACTGAGCATAATACCCTCTAGCTCCATCCATGTTGTTACAAATGGTAGGTTTTGTTTTCTTCCTCTGGCTGAAGAATATTCCATTGTGTATATGTACCACATCTTCCTTATCCATTCATCTATTGATGGACACTTAGGTTGCTTCCATTTCTTGGCTATTGTAAACACTGCTGCGATACACATAGGGGTGCATCTGTCTTTTTCAAACTGGGCTGCTGCATTCTTAGGGTAAATTCCTAGAAGTGGAATTCCTGGGTCAAATGGTATGTCTATTTTGAGCATTTTGAGGATCCTCCCTACTGCTTTCCACAATGGTTGAACTAATTTACATTCCCACCAGCAGTGTAAGAGGGTTCCCCTTTCTCCACAACCTCGCCAACTTTTGTTGTTGTTTGTCTTTTGGATGGTGGCGATCCTTACTGGTGTGAGGTTATATCTCATTGTGGTTTTAATTTGCATTTCTCTGATAACAAGCAATGTGGAGCATCTTTTCATGTGTCTATTGGCCATCTGAATTTCTTCTTTAGATAACTGTCTATTCAGCTCCTCTGCCCATTTTTTATTTGGATTATTTGTTTTTTGTTTGTTGAGGTGTGTGAGCTCTTTATATATATCTTGGATGTCAACCCTTTATCGGATCTGTCATTTATGAATATATTCTCTCATACTGTAGGATACCTTTTTGTTCTATTGATGGTATCCTTTGTGTACAGAGGCTTTTCAGCTTGATATAGTCCCACCTGTTCATTTTTGCTTTTGCTTCCCTTGCCCCAGGGAGATATGTTCATGAAGAAGTCACTCATGTTTATGTCCATGAGATTTTTGCCTATGTTTTTTCTAAGAGTTTTATGGTTTCATTACTTACATTCAGGTCTTTGATCCATTTCAAATTTACTTTTGTGAATGGCTTTAGATGGTGATCCAGTTTCATTCTCTTACATGTAGCTGTCCAGTTTTGCCAGCACCATCTGTTGAAGAGACTGTCATTTCCCCATTGTATGTCCATGGCTCCTTTATCATATATTAATTGACCATATATGTTTGGGTTAATGTTTGGAGTCTCTGTTCTGTTCCATTGGTCTGTGGCTCTGTTCTTGTGCCAGTACCAAATTGTCTTGATTACTATGGCTTTGTAGTAGAGCTTGAATTGGGGAGCGAGATTCCCCCCACTTTATTCTTCTTTCTCAGGATTGCTTTGGCTATTTGGGGTCTTTTATGTTCCCATATGAATTTTTGAACTATTTGTTCCAGTTCATTGAAGAGTACTGTTGGTAATTTGATAGGGATTGCATCAAATCTGTATATTGCTTTGGGCAGGATGGCCATTTTGACTATATTAATTCTTC